TTTATAAATACAGATTAAATGTCCCTCTACAATGCTGGGGGTTTCTTAAAAAAAGCACAGAGGTGAAGATTCAGAGACAGTGCTGAAGTGCATTTAAACATGACATGTAATTTGCAGAATGATATTGCATGCAGTCCTTTAACGTGTTCTAACACATGAACCATATAGTATGAAGACAAATTAGAGAACACCTGGTAGAGTTGATGTCCCGTATACAAAGGCTGAGTCCTTGCTGCATCCGACCTGCGTGTCATCCCATCTCTCTCTCCCCCTTTCCTGTCACTCTTCAGCTGTCACTATCGATTAAATAGAAAAAAAGAAAAAAAAAAGCATTAGTTCTGTCAGAACATGCTCCATAACACTATCTGCAGGTGAGACTTTACACACACATAATCACTTTGGCACAGTATTAATTAATTCAGATAATTGAATTCTTCAAATAAGTAATAAATAATAATATAATAAATTAGTCATCAGTATTTCGCTATAAATGACTAAGATAAAAAGTGTTTATGCTTCATTGATTATATTTTATTTTGTGAAACATTGTGCAGCCACATCGAGGGACATGTTATAAGGTGATGTTTGAATGCATTGTTTCATACATATACACACGGCTGACACTAACATAAGTGAGCTTAACTCAGTATTAGGAGAACTGACTGATTGCCTGACCTGACTGCATATCCAAGAGTTTATCCCACATAGAATAGCTGTACATCCCTGTCACCATTGGCCGATGTTGGCCTTGATATGATCCATTTCTCACCAGGTCTCCAACACATTGTCACAAATGAATAATGACACTTCTCAATATAGCATTGAGAGTAAAAAAGGCAGAATAGACAAGGACGTGACTTTACTGCCACAGTAACTCTGCACTCAGATGACAATGACAAAGGCTCCATCTTTCTCTCCCTCACACGCTGGGACACACACACATACACAACCATACACACATAATTTAGTACAATATGCATGTAAACATATAGGCATATCTAACTCTGATTAATATTCAAATCTTCCTAACAAGACTTTTTTTTTCTTTTCATGACACTTGCAACTCAGTGCACTGAGATGCCCTAATGATCATTTGAGAGACAGAGACAGAGAGAGACAAGCTAATGTATTAAGGATGGATCAGGGTTGATGGTGCGGCAGTAATTTATGAACAGGACACATTAAAGATTCATGGCTTCCTTCTCTTACGATGTCACCGAGCTGTACGAACACTATTCATCACACATGCAGACTGCAAAGAGAGAAAGTGTGAAGAAAAGCTGTTGCTAAGTGAGAGGAAGGAATGAGGGAGAGCTGCAAAGTGGAAGGTAAAAAGGTGAGACGGACAAAAGTAGGGCTGCAAGTCTTTCCCATAATACCCTGTGGTGAGCCATCTTCGAAGAGCAGGACCAACATCTGTATCCAGCTGAACGCTTTTGTAAGCGCGTCCTGATCCACCTGCAGAACGCAGGTTTTTAAAGTGCATCTCAGCTCAGTGAAGATGTGGATTTGACAGCATAGTCTGTCTTAGCCCTAACTCCCGTTACTACCCTCCACACTAAAATTACCTCATGGTGCCTGTTTGCCTCCCAGCTCTTCTTCCTCTCCTTTACAAATACCACTCAGCTGAGACCTGTGCATGATGGGATTGTTGCACTCGTCCCTGGGCTTCAGACTCAGGCCGGATTTTTACAGGCAGCTCTTAAAAGTCCATCAACTCGCTTGTGAACTGGTCGCATACATACACATACACACACACACACACACCACTGACTGTGCTCTTAAGACTCAAAATAGGTCATAAAATCTCTCATAGTGTTTTTTTTGCTCAGTGTTCTGTTTAACCGCTTCAGGTCCAGTTTTAGATTTCTGTCTTTGACATTTGGAAGGTCATCCCCCAGTGGGTTCGATAAGAGTGGTCATTTCAGAGACTGCTCAGTGTGTCTTTGGTTTGTTCTGGTCGGGTTGTGTTTATGATTACTGTTTCATTGTGTTCTCTCTGACCTTTGTAGCTTGAAAGGGGATGGGGGAAAGAGGCGGTTAGTGCTGTGAGTGTTTGGCGTTGCCCTCTCTGGCTGGGTGTCGGGACTGTGCTGTAAACAAATGGCTCAGTTTTTCCCTCTTACCTGTTCTCTTTCCGTCATTCTGACAGGGGTGAGAGTGATGCCAGAGTCTCTGTCAGCCAAGAACAGCAGTGTGAACAGTAAACACACAAACAGCACACAGACACACACACACACACACACACACACAGCCACATCTGTGTGCAGTGCACATTGTCACTAAAGTGTTGTAAAGTAGGCTATAAAAGATGAAGGACAAAAGAGACTATTTGCATTGCAAATGATAACACAAAAACCTCAGCCCGGTATTTTCCTTTTCATATTGAAACTGTATTGTCATTTTAACCATGGCTCAATGACTGGGACTGTTGCTGTGTTGTTTCTTTCACTGTCATTGTTCTGTCATTTTGCTCAACATTTAAGCAGTCACTGCCTTTGTGTGGACAGTCAGGACTGTGGTTGCATGGGGCAGATCAGATTAGTGTTAAGAGGGTTTATTGTTCAACCACAATAACATTTAGTCATCTCGTTTTGATGTCAAAAATAATGTCAAAACCTGTTTCTAATTGTCATTCTCAGATTTTTTATTATCATGGAAGAATGTTTTTCTATGAATATAGTCTAAAACCTCTTGAGGGGCGTGTCAGAGCCTGTGTTTGATTGACAGCAGCTGGCAGGCTGAGTGCTGTTAGAAAAAAGAGGCAAAATAAACAAATTCACACAGGAAACTGTAGCTTGCCAGAGTGTACAGAGTCCCCTTGTGTTGTTAGCAGTGTTAATGAACAGTAAGGACCCCATTGGCATCTGAACAGACTAAAATGACATTTGCAGGTAACAAGCTCAGCTAAGCTTTAATTAGCTAACTCTAGCTAAGTAGCCTGGAAACTGAAGTTAAAAATCTACTGGATGATAGTTTAGTTCAACAGAAGACAAAACGCAAGAAGTGCGTCCATTTTTGTAAGTTAAATAAGGAGGAGACTCGGACACCATTGGCAAAGCCAGAATTTACCCACAACTGAACAAAAACGGAATTAAATTAAACAACAAATCATTGAATTTTCAGTTTTCTTCTCTTTAGCTTCCACCTGCCGTTAGCGGTTGGATGTTTTTTGCCAAAATGCACCTTAGTCGTTGTTACAGGTCCAGTGTGTAACATTTAGGTGGATCTATTGGCATAAATGGAATATAATATTCATAGATATGTTGTCATGTGTCAAATTAATGGGACCCAAAACACACCAAATATGCTATATGCTCTTGATAGAGGTGAGGGGTGGATGCTCTAAAAGAAGTCTTGTGCTATTAATGAGGAGTTCTCTGCTCAGACTATAAACCAGAGACACAATATAAGCTACTGACTGTTAACTGCTGCTAAGTGCTTCAATTGCACTACAAGCAATAGAAGAAATGCAACAGGGGCTTATCACTGATGATGCATATTGTACGACCTAGCTTCTTCCACTGCAGGTAATTCTTACTTTTAACTGTGTTAACATGTCTTAGCAAATAAGAGGCCGAATGTTATATGACTTGAATTACCTGTTGCAGTCTTTATAATGTGGAAGTTCCTCATTATCATTAGCTTGTACCACTTTCTATGTATTATTGCCATCTGTGAAACACTGTACCCAAGAAAACTGGGCTTAATCTATGGAAGCTGGCAGATCTCTGTAGCTTTTGTGCCAAAAAAGTGAATCTCATAGACACAATTCTAGTATTGTCCTTGGGTTACCTTTTGGAAGCAGGTTGTAGATTAGCTCTCTATGCAGGTCATCGCTTTCCCTCTGAGCCGACTTATGATTATTTTGGGAGATCAGGATGCATCACTGAACAGTGCTGTGCTGCTTGGGAAGCTAATCGTTTCTCAGTTATTCTTTAAAGACATAAACAGAGCCAGTCTGAGGGCAAGGAAACATAATATGCAGTATGTAACACAAAATATAAATCTATTTTATTTAAACGTATGCTAAATTTAGATTTAAATGAATTATATCAAATAGTTTGAACCTTTCAGCACAAAGAGCTTATCCCTATATCACACAGATTTGTGTATAGTCCAATGTAATGTTTCTGTTTCCTTTATAATTATAACATAATACTTATGTCTAATAAAGCACATATTTGTATGGGTATGGCAGTGGTGTGTGTATGGGTGTGTGTATTTGTCGTCTGTCCTCGGCTGGTGTCCAGGTGTGCAGACAGTCAGCAGACTTTTCTCCCCTGTAGGTCATCACCTCTAGGTTGCAGCCAGGATTCCAGCTTCCTGTTCATAGTGTCAGTGACAGACATAATTTTCGTCAAAATCCAAGCAGAGCGGCCCCAACTGTATCAGTGAAATCAAGCTGGAGAAGCGAGGGGGGAATCTCTCTCTATTTTACACAGTAACAACCACGTCTTTGTTTACAGGAGGGTGGAAGATGAAATACCAATATGCTATTGTGTTCTCAAGAAACTGTTTTTTCTATTTTTCTCTCCTGTACTTATTTAACATTCAAGCTGAATAAAGAATTACAAAATATAAATTAAATTGCAGGGCAAGCAGCAGTTTTTTTATATTTGCCTAGAGAATATCCTCTCCTCTCTTCTCTTCTTCTTTCCAAATGTGTAAAGCATATGCATATGCTGCCTGCCAGATGCAGGTGCTCAGCCTCTTTGCATTCCCACTTATACAGTACATAGTACTCTGCCATCAAAATTGGGAATCAGTTCAAGAGTAGTTTGTTTAAACATTCATCTCAACATTTCAAAATGCATAGTTGACTGCTTGCCATGTGTGTGTTTATGCGTCATTGGTGGGATTTATGTTAATTTCTAACAAGATGCTAACAAGTAATTTTGGGCGAGGAAGGGCTGGTGTAAGAATGACAAAGTGCGTCATTACATGGGGTACTGTTATTTCAAAGTTTAACAATATGGTTTCTCTTCTTTGTGTTTTAGGACATCCTGGGTCTTGGCCAGACGCTGCCATACAGATCTAAGAGATCCCTGCTGGTCCCTCCTATGATCATAACTGAGAACCAGAGAGCTCCCTTCCCCAGGATCATTGGCAAGGTAAGAAACACATGGTCTTATCATAGACTCAGGTGGGCTTGATTTCCCAACAGCATCCAAGTCTCACATTGGACATGACAAGAAAAAAAATCAAAATTCTCACCTCGGAGAGAACATTTCCCAACGTACAGGACCATCAATTCAATTAGTGCATAATTTAAAGCTTTTGAAAATTAGATTGTTATGCTATTTTTCCAGAACAGAGAAGAATATGGTGTCATCCCTAACATGTTATGCAGATAATGCAATATTTTCTTATTTTATTGATCTAGTGTTCACAAGTTGATTTGCATTGACTGTTTTACAGACATGAAATACATTTCAAATATAGGAAGCATTCATTTTCCTTTCATATTCCATCATATGTATTCTGGCAAGCTTACAATCATGTTATTTAAATTAACTTTTACTTACTTACTTAGCTTATATCTCTTGGACACCATGATAAGATGCAAACCCACTAAGGGCCAACACTGAACATGTTAGTTCAAACCTAAACTTACCTGAGAGTTTTAATGATATCAGAGCAGAAGTGGATCTAGAGAAATATACTTGGGGTGGCATGAGGCTGGAATGGAGATGTTAAGGGGTGGCAGAAATTAACATTTGCTGATTTAATCACAATTACATATATCACTGAAGATATTTAAACTCAAAAACATGACAAAAGTAAAGCATTAAAATGGAATGGAAGCCATTAGAAATCAATATATTTTTTTGAAACCTTCAGACAATTTTCCAAATACACATCTTTTTCAGTGTTAAAAACAAAAATTAATGCATATAATTTAGTGATCTATTATGGAAAAAAATTAGACTAAGCGATTAAGTTCAACATTAGTTTTTTAAAATTAATCTAAATTAATGTGTTGAATTTGAACACCAAACTCCATTAACTTGTAGCCATATACATTTTTTCACACAGTCAGACTCCTGCTGCTTTGCTCCTGCTTGAACAAAAAGTTCAGTGGCCACACAGTTTAGCTGTTTCATCTGACTGCTGCTGTTGGCTAATACACAATGGCCAAGGACTAATCGATAGAGAAGATACTTTACTCTGCTGTCCCAGAGTACATGTCATTCACAGGACTCATGACCAGGCTAATGGAAACACAGTAATAACTTGTAACTTGCTGTTGTTGTTGACTTGTTGACTGGTGGTGATGGTGATAATGATGTGTGTATACGTGTATATAAGTGAATGATTACCATTATTAATATTTTTAACCAGCACCAAAACGACACAGATAGTGTGTGGATGTAATTATCAGCAATGCTCTGATGATTTTACTTACTGAAAGTGGAAGTCTTGCATTATTGTTTGCTTTAATGATTTCTTAAGATAAAAAAGGAGCTGAATGGACAGTATGCCTCAAAAAGTCTCATAAGACCTGTTGGAGTGTTGTGTTTGTTTCCTGGACATTTAAGCATTATTTTACTGCAAAGGTTTGCAAAAGTACACACATTATTTAGCTAGAAGTACCCATTCTTAAACATACATTGAAAAACAAAAAGTAGAAGTACTGATTCATCTTCTTTACTCAAGTAAAAGCACTGGCTCTGCAATATAAGTATAAAGATTAAAAGTACTTCTCTGAAAGACATTTTTACAGGCGGTTTCTGTACAAAGCTAACTAAAACTATAAGTATGGTTGAGTGTCCGTCTCTTATCTCTCACATGGTTTTTGTTGTTTTTAGACCGTGCAGATCTTTGTTTAAAAATGTGGGTCGTAAAAGTAAAAATTAAATACTCAAGTAAACAGATACCTGACAAAAAGACTTAAGTACATTAACTTAGTATTTGTACTTCCTACCTCTGTTTTACTGTGATGACTAAAACATAGTGAAAGCATCCATTTTTGGCCACTTAACACAAGGACAAATAGACAGCAATTTGACATTATTTCTGCTGTTTGTCTTGGTTTGTTCTTAACTTCTTGAATGCCTGTTGTTTGCATTCAGGATGCCACAGTGTCTGTCAGAGCCCCCTGCACAATACCATTCAATATTATAGAATGTTTTTTCCTCCTAAATATATCTTAATTATGTTTTTTTGGCAATGAACTAGCGAGAAGAAAAGAATCAAAATTGCAGGTACTTATAATAGATGGAGGATTCGATAAATACTTCACAATAAACCTAAGTGATCCAATTTTAGATTCTGCTGCAGTTTTTTTTTTCCCATTTGAGTGGAGCTTTTCTAAAGCACAGTTTTTAAATTGTGAACCTGCAAAACAAGACGATCTTTAAACCAAGTGAAGTAGTGTGTTTTCTCCTGTTTAAGTCACAGTGACGATTTGCTTAGCTGTCACTGGTTATAAATCTAAGAGTCCTGTGATATAAAACATCTAATGACTGCAGTAGATGGTGTGGCTTGCCTATAAATATAAACATAGTCAAATACAATTGAATTATGGTTGCCTGACTGAATGAAAGAATCCTCCCAGATGTACGATTTTATTATTAGGAAGTCAGCTGGCCAGTTAGAAACGTTTAAAATAGATCGAAACAGCTGAGTCATCAAGAAAAAAATTGAATAAATATATGAAGAAGCAAGTATGATCCAGAATCAAATGCTTCGCTTAAGCAAATAGAGCCACATGTTGTTTTTGTCAGGGGCTGAAATGTTGTCATTAAGTCAACACTAAAGTGGCAGCATGTAGTGGTAAAAGCAGCCTGAAATGCATTTTAAATGTAACATATTTTGAGTTGGGCACTCAGATCCTGTGGTATTTTGGATAGGTGAGATGATTTTAAAATTTTGAGGTTAACTGCTCTGTTGTTCAGGGAGCATATAATAATCAACATTTGCAAATCTGAGGTTAGTTTTTTGCTTAAGGGCAAGTAACTCATGCAGCAGAAAAACCACTGACAATGAGCCTCCGGTGACATTAAACACACACAGTGTGCTTCAAGTAAGGTACTCTACATAAGCTTTAAGTAATGTGTCAGTATGTATAATTTAGATGCTATGAGAGATCTTTCAAGGAGCATTTGCAGTGCCCATTTTTAAAGGGCACAACAGCAGCACAATGCAATGATAACTAATTGTTCATATATGTGAAATATATATGCTAACATAAATTGTTTGTCCTCAGTGACATCTTATTGCTTAATGTTGTAAAGAAGTTTCAGTTTGGATCTCTAATATCATGCTTTTCCCATTAGTTTAGCTGCTTTAATATGACACCAAAATTAGCATATTTTTATGGTATGGCAATATTGAAGGAGAGACAGCTACACCAAAATATTCTCGATGTGCTGCTTTCAAAAATGCACATAGGTAATAAATGAACTCTCATAGGAACACACCCATCTTCTATAGGAACACTTCACATCTAAGATAAATCATTATTGGGAAATGAGGCCACAGTCAGAAACGTTAAGTCAGATCCTGTGCTTTGAATATTACGATAAAAACAGGCATAGATTTCCATATTTTATTCTTCAATCAAACATCCAAGTACAACTCCAGGAAGGGCATTGCCTTGGCAGCAGCATATATTTCCTGAGGCATAGCATCAGGTGATTGGCTTTCATTAAGTATCTCAAGAAAGCATACAGTAGGTAAAACATATTTTGACATTTTAGGGATTTTTCATTTTCAGCCAAAATTATTTAATTTGACAAAGCTGAATGTTATATGACCATTCAATTGAAGTGGCAAAATAAAAAATAAAAAATAATTAGGTGGTATGTGGTCAGATTTATTTATAGAGCGCTTTCAAAAACAAACCGGGTTTGAACCAAAGTGCATTACAACAGCAATTATCAAAAAGATTATCACAAGACATGCTGTAAGTACTTTAATACATGGTTAAATACTCATACATACGTACATTACATCCATCAAAGCAAAAGTGCAAATCATGTCAAGAGTCATTGCAGGAGTAGGCAAGTGGGTCTTGAGGCTTAAAAGAGGAGAACGATTCTGCTGTTTTTATGTTTTCAGGGAGACTATATTCTAGAGTCTCAATGCAGCTCCTGAGAAGGCCCTGTCTCCTAAATGTTTTTGATAGGATCAAGGGATGGCTAACAGCTCTCAAACTGTAGGTCTAGCTGTACTGTATGGGGATATGAGTTCAGTGATATAGCTCGGGGCGAGACTATGCAGAGATTCATCCACAAAAGAGTGGATTCGACATGGGAAGTAATGCCAGTAAAAGTAAAGGATGGTAGCGTAGGTCTAATATTTTCCCTTCTTTTCCATCTGCATACGTAAGAGTCTGGCCACAGCATTCTGTTCAGTTCCTTCTCATATATAATTTATGATCTTCATTTTTCAGAAATTGTGTCATCAAAATTTGTATGTAATGTGATTTTGTTGGTTTGTTCAATACACTCGACATCTGTTGCATGTGTGTCTGTCCTGAGAGAGGGATCTCTACTCTGTGCCTCTTCTTGAGAGGACTTCTTTGGAGGACTTTCCGCCGGTCTGGGGCCTTCTCAAGTCCTCCATCTCCCTCAGTCCTCCCCTAGTTGTTTCAGATCAATTTAAACTATCCTTTCATATACAATTAACATCAAAACATATAACTATATTTTAAGAATGTGTTTCATTTGTAAAAAAAAATAATGGCAAATGTAAAAGGTCCCCGCAAATGCGTAAACATGGTTGATAAGAACAAGGACAGAAACTGCTGTTTAAATTTTCGTTGTTAGGTATGATGTTAGTAATGGAAATATTTTCAGAATATTTTGCTTGAAAAAGCGGGCTTCCTATGAGATGATAATACCAGCACTGGCCCCAAGACAATTTGAGTTTGTGACCCCTGGTCTAAGGTCAGATGGTTTTGAACGCTGTACAGATTGTGAAGCCCCCTGACACAAATTGTGATTTTTGCCTATATGAATAAAATTTACTTAACTTTGACAAGTTGTGGCCTGTGTTGCCTGCAGTTACTTTCTACTATTATAGGCCTTACAAAATCTTGGCAAAAACAAAGCACATGCAAAAATAATTGAGACATTTATAGCGGTTGTGTTAAATGATAATACGT